CGTACCGTACCGTACCGTACCGTACCGTACCGTACCTACCGTACCTACCTCCTACCTCCTACCTACCTACCTACTACTACGTACTACGTACGTACGTACGTACGTACGTACTCTCTCTCTCTCTCTCTCTCTCTCTCTCTCTCTCTCTCTCTCTCTCTCTCTCTCTCTCTCTCTCTCACAGATACAATCATTGGGGACTTTCGTTGACTCCCATTCTATTCAAATTTCTTGGGGAACATTGTGATCTATCTCCCACTCACACATTGACAAGATAAACTCTCTCAACTCTCCTATTGTAGATGCAATGAAACTGGTGAAATTACAAAAAGTAAAGAGCGAAGATGAAGCATTTGTCATAAGCAATCTCAAACTTTCAGTGAAGGGAACCCTTTTCAACTACCAAATTCAACACACAACCAGATTGTGGTGTAATGCACACCTTATTTCATATGATACCCTTTCTCAGCTATTGACAATCGATGCTGGGTTAGATTTCCCATTTTAACAATGTTTCTAATTTATCATTTGCCCACATTAAAATTTCTACTCATAGGTTAACTTACATGCATTGCTAGGTCGAGATCCAAACTTTATTGTATATGAAACAAAAAATGTGTTGGTGAAACTCAATCCCAAAGTAGAGGATACTTAGTTCAAAGTTGGTGGAATCATGATTCCACTTCATCATGGAACCATGATTTTTGGCATAGGAATCTGGATCCCATTTACGTGGAATCGAGTTCCCCAATTCCCGAATCAAGATCCCAACTATCAAGGAATCGCCTGGAATCGAGATCTTGTGCATTAGAGCGCAGGAGCTTCCAGAGCGGAAGCGAACCCCTCCTTAGAAGATCCCGGTAACAAAGCACCGATCCTTTGGGTGCCCTAAAAGGCAGGAAGAACATAGCTCTACAACAGGGACAATGTTTACAAAGGCCTCTCTGCTCACGAATAGCTAGGTGCTATGGCAGCCAAAACAGGTCGCAGATGCATTAAGTAGAAGATCCTAATGACTTCGGATACCTGCCTCAGTTATATGCTATTGACCCTTATTTTTGCAAAATTCTTCAACAGTGTACGCAGGGAGACATGTATTCTTCTTTTGGCTATGTTTTGCAGGACGGATTTCTTTTTAAAGGAAGTCGTGGAGGGCTCTTCACATTCAGATTATTGACGAGCAACATGGTGGAAGCCTCAAAGGGCACTTCAAGTTGGATTAGTAGAGGAGAAATATTATTGGCCAAGACTCAAGCGAGATGTCAGACAATATATCGAGAGGTGCAGACTTGTCAGCTAGCCAAAGGCCAACTGCATAATATTGGCTTATATTACCCATTACCAATTCCTATAGCGCCATGCATAGATATCAACAAGAATTTTGAGGTTGAACTTCCTTGCACAGCTAAAAGCTTTTGTGTTTGCAGTGGTGGGTACATTATCAAAGATGGCACACTTTATCCCTTGCAAAAACAACCTCAATGCTATGCCTCCAGCTAATTTATTCTTCAAGGGGGTGCTTCGTCTTCATAGAATTCGTAAGACTGTTACTTCTAATAACAACAATGTTGTAAAATGCAGCCGCATCGCCGCATCATGCGCGATGCACTGGCAACCGCATCGCCTGACACAGCATATGCACTTTGGTGGGATGCGCCCGTATATGCACCACATCCCACCGCATATGCGGCTGCATAGGGCGCATATACAGCCCGTGTGCCAAATGAAGAATACCCCCTCAAAAGGGGTATTTTGGTATTTTTAAGCCTCGAAAAGGGGAGAAAGGGTTTGGGGGGTATTAAACCCCCCATACCACCAAACTTCGTGGCCTTTAAGACATTAAATTGATAAAAAAAAAAAAAGTGGCAGAAATTTGAAATTTGATGCACATGGAGACCCTCTAAATAACTTGTCTGATTAGGATTTGAAATGTAGAATATCAAGACTGAAGAAATGATCATTTGTCTTGACTTTTGAACTCTTTAATCTTCATAGACCTTTAGTTCGTATTTTGTAACTTTAAAGTTTGTAGTTGCAAATTTGTGATTACGGTTGTTTTCCATGTTTTATGAAGTTCGTGTCAAGTTTCGAGTTTCCACTTTCTAATGTCTTCTATGATTTATTAAGGGATAGTGGATACAACATCTCCGACAGCTAATACTTTTGGGATTAATGGATAAATTAATACCTACTATCACATAAATCACCTCCATATGTTTTCCTATGCATTAACCTATTTTTTTAGATTTTTTAGAGTTTAGATTTTTTATAATTTTTTATATTTATTGACCGCATCGCGGTGATGCACCCGCATTTGAACCGCATCGAGCCACATTGGTCCGCATCCCGCATTTTAAAACACTAGATCGTGATACACAATCTTCAAGTGACTTTATGGAAGAACGTTAGGCACATAGCTTCATTATAAAGTGACTACCATCCGCAGACTGATAGCTAAACCGAGATTGTTAAAGAAAAGTGGGATATTTATATAGGAGCCTCACACGAGACAAGCCTTCACAATGGGATTCGATCTAGCCACAAGCCAAATTTTCTTATAACAATATGGCCAATCGGTCCACAACAAAGTCATCTTTTGAGATTGTGTATGGGAATGCACGAATAAGGTGTCACATTTGGTACCTCGGCCACTTTATAGCAAAGGCAGTGACTTGGCAGAACATTCCCCAGTTTGAATTGTCCCACAGTAATGATAAGAGGAAAAACAATTGGGCCCCAAGTTTGAATGGCCCAATAACTACACCAAAAAGAAGAGTTATTTGGAAACAAGTGAATGAAAACAGTTGTCCTCAGAGATAAGTGTTTGGCAGAGTTATCTTTGTTAGTGACGAACAGAAGGGCTTGTAACTTGATAAGTGGAGCAGATTCAATTGTGTCTTGCACTCCTAAAAGGGAAGGAGGGAAAACATATTTATTTGTTAAAAAATGGCCCGTATTAGTGAGCCTTAAATAATATATATTGTTGAAAATTTCATTCCATTCTCAGAAATTAATCATCTATTGAAAGCTTTGAACAATATACTCTATGATTCCACAAAATTATTTTCTAATAAAAATCTGTACAAAAATAACTTCATTCTTGGTCAATATGAAAGTCAGACACAGTACACATTCCAACCACAGAGATGAATGTATGCCATTTACTATGTGCTGAAGGCCATCTAACAATAATGCTTGTGCACACTCACACACCGCTCATGAAAAGAAAAAAAACTCACCTTCTTGGATTTTTTCACCATATAATTTGATTCCCTTAAAGGAAGAAACAGTGATGCATAGAGCAACAACCTTCTTTGGTCATCCTATCAAATTGAAAATAATTAGAAAATTTTCCTAATATCATGGTATATGTCAACTTCAAAAAGCCACTGCATAATAAGACAATCGAAAAATGAAAAAACATATATACAATGACACATGGATAACATTACCAACATCTTGATGACTACATAACTTCATAATAAATCATGGTGCCCGTTTTAATAGAAATGCCAAAGTCTCTCAAATGTTTGTAAAGGGTAAATACTTAACTATCTAATGTGAATAGGAATCATTGCATGCCATAGAGGCAATACAACATCAGCTACTTCATTAATGGGAGTTGGCAGGAGGAGGCAGAAGCTCAAATCCTAAGACTTGAACGTTGAACACAATAAAAATTATTGTATATTGTCTTAGATGATGTAAGGGAAGTATCAATGGGATACCAATATATAATCTTGCTAAAAAAATTTAAGCAGGTTTGATGGCCTTCGATGAAACCAATTGGGTTGTTTGCCTTGGCTGCTTCAGTATGTTTTAAGCACTTGAGTCCACACATACACGAGTGCGCAAACACACAACATCAAACACACAAGATCAAACATTTGATCTTTGATCATAAAAGACCATCCTTGCAAACTTAAAAATATTGTTTTAAACAATATTGGCTTAAATCCTTGGTTTCACTATGCTTAGCACAATGAACATAAAATCCTCCAATGTATATTCTAGGTCAGTTATTTTTTCATGTGGTTATGAGAGCATCCACTCAGCGATCATGTTGCCATCCCCTGATACTAAACCTCATAGGTAAACATCCAAGGTGATGCATAGGTCAAAAGATGGCTCTCAAAATCAAAATAAGTTTGAAATATGAGTCATTAGGTTGTGTACATTGAAATTTTGTCAATGTTGAATGCCAAACCCTTCTCTAACAGCATCAAAAAAAACTTCCTCGATTCCTATGCAAACTTCCTTGGATGACAAAAGAAAAGAAGCAGCATGGTAAAGGGCTTACCAGATGTCCCTCCACGGTGGCCCAGCAGTGTTGTTAAAGCCCCCGTTTTCTCACAAAGGAGGAAGGAGCCCATTAAAGAGGAGAATGATCCTCCTCATGAATGGCCCACCAAAAAAATGCAAATGTCAAGAGACTAGAAAACCTGTTCCCATTATAAGTTTATAAACAACATTATTTGAAAAGTAAGGTGCAAGCCGTGTAAACTGTAAAGAAATAACTAACTTAGAAGTACCAGTCAAGCCAGCACTACATGATCATCTACTGCTCTAAAATGGACATGATGCACATAAGAAGGTCCTGAGAAATGGAGGGACAACCATGTGTTCTACATGTGAAGGATGGAATACCAGGTATTAGTAAGGACGTAGAAAGATATCAACTGGTACTCCTTGTTTCTAACTCAGATTGTTTACCATGATGCCAAGGCACCCAAAATACTTTTGCAGAGAGAATGGTATCAAGATCCACAGAACTAAGAACAAAATGGTATTCTCACTATACATGGGTTTGTTCAAATGAAGTGAGCCAGACAGTAGCAGATTTAGACTTTTTAAGCCTTTATAACAAAGTTGATTTTGGTTTAGGGATGTGGTATGGGATGGAGGTCCGGGTTGATATTAGCTTAATAGCATTTCTAGTGTAGTTTGTTCAGTTTTGGGGTTGAGGTACAAGGACAGCAATTTTATAATTTTTGTTTTGGTCAATTGGTAGGCTTCAGCCATTTAGCCTAGTTCCCTTGCAGCAAGGATTATGTTACGTTTCTGATTTTCAATGCAAATCTATGTTTGTTCCGTTCTTTTTTTTTGAGAAAAGGTTAACATTGTATTAGTGGATATGAAGTGTACAAGAGAGAAGAGACCAAGTTCACCCCCTAAGGGGTGGACTGGAAAAATACAGTCAGCATATCATATACAAAAAGGGCTTATAAAACCACCCAATGTAAATGTTTAACATGAGGCTTTCAAAAAATACAAAAAATGAGGAGGCCTAGAAAACCCCGGTGATGTGCTATGGAGGCGAGCTGAGCCAGAGGTCTTGTGCAAAAAAGGAGACGACCCCAGCTTGATCTTGTAATTGTATATTAGCTCCCTCTTTCACCAAGCGATCCGCGAAGTCGTTGGACGTCCTCCATGTATGCCGCCATGAAACGTCCATATCCCTGCAAAGGGGATCAATTTCATCGAATGTAGTGGTTAGGTACCATGGCCGAGGGGAAGCCCTACTAGCCCAAGAGAGAACATTTTTTGAATCTCCTTCAATGATGAGGTGTAATCCCCAAGAGCGATTAAACTTTTTCAGGCCTTGAAGGAGGGCCAAGGCTTCTGCAATTTGTGCTTCCATGAAGCCAAGGTGCTCTGAGAAAGTAAGAAAAACATTGCCTAGGTGATCTCTAAAAACCCCCCAAGCCCCAACCGGCCTAGGTTTCCCTAAGGACCAACCATCAAAATTTAGCTTGATGGTTCCTTCTAGGGTTGTTGCCAAAAGCTGGATCTTTGTGGTTGTCGTGGGCAGTGGAGGAGAATATTTTTCCATTGGGGGAGGAACTGGGTCCTTTGAATACCTGAGAAGGCCTTGTGGTTCAAGGCCCAGAAGGTTACCATGGCGATTGCCTTGTACAGGAGAGTTGAAGCTTGTAATTTTGAACCTCGAAAGATTCGGTTTTCTTTCCACCCAAATGGTCCACAGGGTTGCCACTAAGGTAGCCTTCCAAAGGGCTCTACCAGCCTTTGGCCATGGAGTATGAAGCTCATAGGAGATGAGCGCTTTTACCGTAGGCGGAGTGACCCATTCAATGCCAAAGAGTTGCAAAATTTCCCCCAAAGTTCAAAGGAGAACTCACAGTGTAAGAAAAGGTGGGGGTTTGCCTCCTCATCATTTTGGCATAAAGCACATCTGTTGGGGATAGGAATCCCTCTCTTTTGGAGGTGGTCAGTAGTGAGGACTTTGTGCGAGTAGGCCAGCCAGTTGAATGTTTGGACTTTAGGTGAGGCAAAAGTAGACCACACTTTCGAAACTACCGAGGTGGGGTTGACCGGAAAGGTGGGAGGTTATGAAAGGATTTTATAAAAGGAGGCCACCGAGAACTCACCCGAAGGGGTGGGTGTCCAGACCAAAACATCTCTCCCTTAGGAATAAATTGATAGTGAAGGATTGTTAAGAGCACTTGAAATTGGTTAAACTCCTCTTCGGTTAGGTTTCTCTGAAAAGAAGGATTCCAGGCTCTATGTTCTCCTGTAAGAACCAATTCCTCAGCCACTGTTGCTTCTTGATTGATAGGTGAGTAGAGAGCTAAGAAGCCTCCCGCAGTGGTGAAGAACCTAGCCATAAATCTGACCAGAATCTCACACGGGAGCCCACTCTCGGATGAACTCTAATTTGTTTTGTGAAGTGAGACAAGGCCGAAGGGAAGGATTTCCATGCTCTTGAGGCATTATGTTTGTGGGACTTCTCTGGCACCCATACTCCTTCAGGTATCCTATACTTGTTTCTTAAGACCTGAGCCCAAAGGGAAAGCTGGGTTGCAAGTCGCCACCACCACTTGCCTAAAGGAGCGAGATTATCCTTTCTTAAAACCTTGATACCTAGACCACCCTGGTTTTTTGGAAGGCAAATGTTGTCCCAAGCAACTAGATGGAATTTAGTCTTCTGCGCCTGCCCTGACCATAGGAAGTTACGCATGAGCTAGTCCAAGCGATTAGCCACTTGAGCAGGCATATGGAAGAGAGACATTAGGTAGCCTGGAGAGTTAGATAAGGTAGCTTTAATCTGCCTGCCGTAGAGAGGAGACGACCTTTCCATCGTGCCAAGCGTTTGTCCACCCTATCAATGACATGGGACTATTGACCTTTTTTGGGTGGGAGACCTAGTTAGGTTGTAAGGAGGTCCTCCACTTTACATTCCCAGTTGGGACTGAGCCCTCTAATCTCAGCATTTGAAATTGCTACCCCCATCATTTTTTATTTTTCCATGTTGACTTTGAAACCAGTTGCTACTAGGAAGCATTGAGGAAGAGGTTCAGGGTATCCACTTCCCTAGGGGAGGCGTCTAAGAACACCAGAGTGTCTTCTGCATATTGCAGATGGGACACTGTCGGGCCGTGTCTACTGCTCCTGAAGCCGAAAAGAAGTCCTGCCTGAAACACCCGGGAGATAGAACGACTGAAGACTTCGGCGGCAATTGCACACAGGAAGGGCGAGAGGGGTCTCCTTGTTGAGGCCCCTTGAGGAAGAGAAAAAGCCTTTTGGTTCCCTTTTTATTAGTGGTAATTATGGATTCAAAACTATCGCAATTTAACCATGTAGACAGATGGAATGATAATTCAGTTTGAACAGCATTTTTTACCAAGAGAGAACCCAGAAATGGAAGATACCTAAGTTCAGGCACAGAGAGAGAGAGAGAGAGAGAGAGAAAGGTGTTTTTATTAATTAACATAGAAAGGGTACTGTTTTCACCGATACTAACAGATCACAGGCCAGAGGTGTGCAAAAGTGAGAAAGTATGTGCTGTTATTTCACTGTTCACCACAGAGTGAAAGAGAAAATTATTTACAGCCACTAGCAACATGCGTGTGTGTGTGTGCGCGCGTGTTTCCACCTTCTTATAGAAGTCGCTTCTTGGCTCATCGAAAGCCAGATTTCAACACAGGTCATTGCTTTAGACAGCTTGCACTTCATTTTCAAATAAAACTGGAAATATTGGGGAGTAAAGACTCTTGACAACATTTGCACTTCTATTTGTAACCCAGTTATAAGTAGAATGGATACCCTCTGTGATGGGCCCCTTCATCTTTAGTAAGAAAGTCGGGGGCTTATCATCCGCAGTTGCGCTGAGGTGAAGGAAAGTCACATGACCCTCCTATTGTGTAGCCTTTTTTCAAGCTTTTCCAAAATATAGTAGAAATAAGTTTTTTCGAAGTTCTTAACCTCTTCGAGCGTATTACTAGCCAAGAAAGAGAACAGGTACAAAGAGGGTCGCCATCAGCTGCTTGAGCTTCAGCTAGGGGTTTAGCATTGGGGATGGGTCATACTTTCAAAAACTGCTTCATCCTAATTATGGAAAAAACTATGGTAAGCATGTGACCAGGAAGAACATGGCAACCAAAGTGCCAAATGAGGCAGGTACCATCTTGCAAGTAGGAAAGGGGACAATCCTGATCAAACAGAAAAAAGAATATCCTCATTTGCTCCTTGGATGTAATCCTGCACAACTGTCTCTCAATTAACCCACTCAACCCTAGGGACGAGAGCGAACCTTAGAAACTTTCTTCTCGGTACACACAATATGATTGTCTTTGTTGGCAAAAGGAGGATAATCGCTGTTGCACACAAGTTCAATCGTGATTTCCTAGTCATTTCATCAAAACTTGGAGAGCCTTCAACCAAACGGAGGAAGGACGGAAGAAAGTATTTGACAAAAGATTAGACTGAAGACCAAGATTCACATAATTTTCTTGTCACCACCCTCATATTAAAGGTAAACTGGCTCCCAGGGCAACCAAAAGGTGAAAAAGATGGGAAACAAGGGAAAGTCCGGAACAGAGTGGTGCTTCTCAATGCCAATTACCCTATTCGAAAGGTGGCTTGTGCACTTCCCATGAATGAGGTCTGATCCTTGAGAGTTGGGTCAGAGGCAGCTGCCCGGGGCCTCTTACCATGAAAGGGAGAAGGAAGATATGAAGAACACAACTTCGGATCAATCAAGATCACCAAAACAAACAAAACTTAAACCATCTATGGATTTGGACAGAAAATAATGCCATATTTCTAGCAAGGACCTCATATCAACTACTTTTAATACCACAAAACAAAGTTGTGCCACAAAAATTGTTCAAAAGATGCTTTAAGAAATATTTTTAAAATCCACACTGCAGTAAGTACGATGCGATCTATCAAAAACAAAATAGTTCTTTTAGTTACAAAATAATAATTCAAGCATTTCCTATTTTTGTTTTGGTCAAAAAAATTACTCACATTGAATGTTGAGTATCCAATTTGTTGTAGAACATTCCAGGCAGCATTCATAAAAGCAATACAAAGCCTGAGGAAATTGCGAAACTAGTTTAGATAAAAGCATAAAGAATCAGCTTCATATTCTACAAGCACTTCCACAACCATTAGGAAGAGATAGCCCATCAGAAATTCACTGCAAGAGTCATCAATTGGAATATTGATAAATTTTCAAAATAATGAAATTTGTTTTCATGAAGAATTACAAAATCCTTAATATAATGGATCTAGAACATAGACCAACATCATAAGATTTTGTTGAATGCCCAACATTTATTGCCTTTTAGTATATCAAATTCACATGTGAGTTTTTTTTTCCTTTTCTTCTTTTTTTTTTTTTTTTTTGGTTGGTGGTTGGGTGGTGGGGGTAAGGGTGGGGGGTGAGGGTTTTGAGGGCACATATTAAGTACTAGGGAGCCTGCCTAGGCAGTCCTATGGAGAGCTAGGCCAAAAATAAGGCATTCGGCTAAGGGCTCCAACTGATGGATGTGATGCGCTTCTCTCTCTCTCTCTCTCTCAAAACACACACATGGACAAAAAACCATATGCACTCCATCTATTACACATAAGAAGAAAAGGAATACGACAACCTCCAAGTTTTTGATGCAAGGCCTCCCTCACACACACACACACAATACCCCTATGATCTCTCTCTACATACAAGAAGAAGACGAAAAAGACCCCCAAGTGTTTGATGCAAGATCTCTCTCTCAAACATACTCATACACTAACTTTACATATAAAAAGAAGAAGACATCCTCCAAAAGTTAATGCGAGCCCCTCTCTCTCTCTCATAGACCCATATGCTCTCTCTTTCACTCTACATACAATAAGTTTTGCGGTTTTGTGGCCTTAAAAGCCCGTGAGAGAATGTAAAAATAATAAGTATAGTGAATTGTGTACTGCAGTGAGAGTGTATGTTGGTTAACTAGCCTAGGTTTAGGCGGTCTATGACTCAAATCATATTCAAAACCATTTTACCTTGAGCATAGGCACTCTTTTAGCATTTTATGGAGAGTCATCCCTTGTTAAGGTTGGAGAGATGCCTAGGGACGATACTTTGTAGGCCAAGAAAGCTTTATAGCCTCCTGTGTGTGGTCGTAGGCTAGTAAGAATGAGAGCCAAATCCTCAACAAACTTTCGCACATGTACCTACGAGAGCCACATTTTGGGAAGCAACCCTATAGAAGGATAAATATATATGTGCATAGAGAGAGTCCCCCTTGTACTATAAGTGATATGTGCACGTGATTTACTATTGGGGGGGAAGTTGTAATTCACATACCAAGAACGTGATTCTACTATTTATTAGCTAGCTTTGATTGGCCAATCATGAGCCCTTCACATGATTCTAGGGCATGGGTTCCGTTGAGTTGTTTGAGAATATAGTTGTGGATCACAAGTCCTGGCACGGGCAAGGTGCTTGACAGTCACTTTTATTGACTCATGCGTATCTATCCACTTCTAGAGGTATTTTAAGAGTTATCAGTAATTTTTTAAAAAATTCAGAACAATTGTTTTCAACTTTATTTATGTTCTTGCGATTTTTTAATATTTTACAGATTCTTTATAGATTGTCTTAGTGGCTTCAAACCAATGTTCTCATATTCGCTTCAAAGTCTTCTTTGGTTTAGTGAGAAAAATGAAGCGATTCGGCTGCTTCGAGGGAAGACTTCGAATTTTTTTAAAATTTAAGCTAAATAAATTACATATTTATATATATAATATATAATAAAATAAAATAAAAATTCAAAAAAAACAAAACTCTTATTTAGATATTTCATTGCTTCGGCCGAATCGGCCCAAACCATACCCGAATCTAACCGAATATCTAACCGAAGAAGCCCGAAGCAAACCGATTCTAACCAAAGTGTCAACACCAAGCTTCGCTTCAGTCTAGGCCTAAAATCCGAAAGCTTCGGCCGAAGCAAAGTGAATTTGGCAACACTGCTTAAAATCCTAAAAGGGCATTTACAAAACTTCTACAACTTATAGGAGCATAATTGAACCCATATGGAGGGCCCAAGGCCCAACCCCCACACGTGTGGGCCACATGGAGTGGGATGTGAGGCCCATGTGAACCACATGCCCCACATAGTGGGACACCCCCAAATATTTCCCAATAATTTGGGGGATCTTATGTAGAATCCAGTCATATATGAAAAAATATTTAGTTTGTTACAGGACATTTTTGAAAAATCATAGAGAAAGATTTTGTGAGAATAATTGTGGATGTAGAGAATATTTGTGTTTAGAAAATATTCTTTCAATCTTTAAAATTTCACCAATACTCTTTTGAGTTTGAATTTCTACAATCCATTTGTGAGAGAAGAAATTCTAGCCGAAATACGAGATGAATTTTGAAGGGTCAGATTCTAAATTGAGTAAAGGTGGATATCGAACAAAGATTCAGGGGATAAGGTTCTTAAATTCCTCCCTAAATCATAATGGATGATTTCTAGGATGGATGGTCTCTAACACATCACAGATTACCAAGAAATATTTTGGTCAAACTGAATCCTAATCTAAGTAGATATCCTAGGGCCCTTAAGAAGTATATAAGGAGGGGACTCCTTCTATTCTCAACAACTATGTTTCTCTGACCTCTCTCTCTCTCTCCTCCATGCCATATCTCTCCCACTCAAGTTGTCTCTCTCATCTCTCTAAGGTGGCATGCACCAACTGATAGGGACTTAAGGATGGCACGCACCACCCAGGATACAGAGAAGTTGGGGGCAGCCCAGTCCAAATGCTGGCTAGGGGAAGTGTATGGCAAGCCGCAAAGTTTAAAAAGAGTCTAGACAATCCCTAACTGTAGTAGCCTATGCTCTCAGCCCCATACCCATAGTTTGTGATAAGGGAATTCCATAAGTGCTTCCTCGTTCAGTGGATTCAACAAGACCTAAGGATCAAAGTGCACCATCTATTTGGTAGTCAGTGTGGAGTGTGCTAAGTTTAAAGGGGGTAACCCTAGGCAAAGGTTTAATAAGTCATCCCAGTTTTTGTTTGTTAATTTATTTTCAGTTCTTGACAAATTCCATATTGTAAGATTGAATTTCAGTTTTTTAATAAGTATAATTTTCGTAGTAAAATTTAAAGATCCTAATTTCCCTCCAAAAAAAAAAAAGGATTTAAAGATCCTAGACTGCAATAGGTTTATTCCTACATTGTATTATAGTAATTGTAAATAGAAATTCCAGTTATTAATAAAGAAAAGAAATGCCCCCAAGTGTTCGATGCGAGGCCTCTGACAATGTTCAAAAAGCCAGATGCGCCCGCCTAGGCAGTTTGGGGGCATGTCTGCCTAAGCAGGCGCCCAAAAGCAAGAACAGACATAGCATCCCTCAGATTTGGTTTCACAATCTAAATATTTACAACATGTCAATTTAATTCAAAGTTTCGAATTGTTCACAAAATGTAAGCCCAAACTAGTAGGTATTCACAAAATATTCCAACTACCAACATGTTACAATATTAAAAAAGAAAACTCAAAATAAAAGTATATCAAATAATAACATTCTATACAAAAATATTCTATTGCACAAAGCTTTTCTAAATGAATACCATATAGTCCTAAACTAGGAAATATTCACAAAATATTTTAAGTTATCAACTACAATATGTTAAAATATCACAAAAGAAAAAATTAAAAGAACACCAATTCTCATCAAAAAATTAAAAGAAAATCGAATCACATCACGTTATACAAAAAAAATACGAAACCCTATTTCAAATAATGCAATGCACTAACGTTTTCAACATGAACTGATATCACCCCAAACCAGTGACCGTTGGTCACTATAAGTCCTCTTATGCGACTACTCCAAGCTCAAAAAATTATCGGGAAATATATCTTTTGATTTCACAAGAAATCGAAAATATTGAAAAGCTTTGCGAGCTTAAGAAAAATCTCAAAATCTAAGCATTTCAAGAGTTTTTCTCTATCTGAGATATACAAAAGGGGTTTTGGGGGATGAGAATGTTGTCTCAAAACCCTTACCCCCCCCCCGCCCCCCACCAACTTTTTTTACGGGGGGGGGGGGAAGAACCAAATTTTCCGCCCTCAACCAACCTGTGTCGAGGCACCAACTAGGCGGATGTCTAGAGGAATAGTGCTTAGGAGGCCCACCTAGACATTTTGGCTTCCTAGCCACCGTGAGTTTTGAAGTATGGTCTCTTGCATACATATAGACCCCTATGCTCTCTCTCTCTCTCTCTCTCTCTCTCTCTCTCTCTCTCTCCCCAGCCCGGACAAAAAAAACCAAAAAACCCCCACCCCATACTTTAGGGCTGCTCAGGTATCAGAGCGCCCACTTCGAAGGCCAAATCGGCCTTCTATAACATTGGTGATAACATGTTCACAAGCGAAATTTTAAATTTGCACATACTATGATACTAATCATACCATGTATTATTATTTGTTTCGAGAAATTTGGATACCAAAGAACATAAACAGGACATATTAACCTGCAAGCTTTCACTGCTCCCAACCCTAATTTTTAATCTTCGCTCTCTACAAACTACGGAGGACCATCATGTTTCAAGTGCTAAAAACATTGACCAAATCATACAAGAAGATCAAAATTGGACCATAGAACTACAAGCCTTAAGTACCATAATTTAGTAAGTAAATGCATATGTATTTGAAATCCAAGAACTAGATTAGTAATGCTACTTTGCAAGTTTAACTACACAAACCAGTGTTGTCAAATTCACTTCACTTCGGCCAAAGACTTCGGAATTTAAACATAGACCGAAGCGGAGCGAAGCCTAGTCCTACCGCTTCGATCAGATTCAGGTCTGCTACGGAGCGATTCGGCCGAAGCTTCGGCCTCTTCATGAAAGAAAAATCTATATAAAAGTACTCTTTTATTATTTGTTTCTTTTTTTTTTTTTTTTTTTTTTTTGGAATTTTTGTGTTAACTTTTTTTTCATTATTTTTATATATATTACATATAAATATCTAATTTATGTATATTAAATTTAAAAAAATAAAAGTCAAAAGTCTTCCCCGGAATGGACCGAAGCACC